ACAAATATATAAATTAGTAATTGACAAAATACATAAAACAAATAACACATAGGGTTTTTATCACAAATAATCCTTAAAATTGACCATCACCATCAAGATGGTCCCTAAAATTAAAAATCAATCAATGTACTCCCTGAAAATAGGTATCGCAAATCAATGTGGTCATTTCATTACAATTCTGTTAAAAATTCTGTTAAGTGCTGAAGTGGCACATAAATGGGATCCACAAGATTTACGAGTTTTTATCACAATGGTCTCTGAAATTAACCCACATCATCAAGATGGTTCCTGAAATTGACCCACACCATCAATATGGTCCCTTAAATTGAAAATCAATCAATGTAGCCCTTGAAAATAGGTGTCGCAAATAAATATGATCCTTCTGCTACAATTCTATAAAAAAAAAATTGTTATGTGCTGATGTGGGTTTAATAATTAATTAAAAATTTTGTCTAAATACATTTTTGCATAATGAAATTTTTTTTTTCTTATAGTAGGGCCTACTCCGAAGAGAGATCTCTTTCATAAATTCTCAAAGACACAAGGCTTAACCAAGGTCTAAGAGGGGGTGTGGAAATAGTTTTCAACCAACAATGAATGCACCTCGGTTATAACCTCATTATCTCAAGGCATACCTCGTCATTCTTTGCATCACCAGACCATCAGGGAAGCGCCGAACAAGTTCTCCAAGATTAAGGTTATGAGGATGTTGATTGCCTAAATGTTAACAGTGATGTCCCAGAAGTAGTTGTCAATGGGTCAAACTGTCACCAAAGGTAATCTCAATCCAGATTCAATTCGGTGAAGAGTGTTGAAGTGTGTAAAAATGGGTGTATTGAGATTATTTTTTAGAGAATAGAGAGCAAATGAGGTATAGAAATGTGGACTGGGATCAGAGGTGATTGCAAGATTGGGTTTTTGGGTTGACAATTTTTTTTATTAACTATTAAATTATTAAGCCTATTTGTAATTTTTTCTTTTTTTAAAAAATTTAATTAGACTTGTATGACCTATTTATATGTCACATTAGCACATGACAGAATTTTTTACAAAATTGTGACAGAATGACTACATTGATTTGAGACACTTACTGGCGGGAATACATTGATCAATTTTTAATTTCAGAGACCATTTTGATGTCGTGGGTCAATTTCAGGGACCATTTTGATGTCATTGGTCAATTTCAAGGACTATTTGTGAAAAGAAAAAAAAAAAGACTTATGGGACCTATTTATGTGCCACATCAGCACTTAACATATTTTTTTTTAACAAAATTGTGACGAAATAACCACATTGATTTGCAACACCTATTTTTAAAGACTATGTTGATTGATTTTCAATTTCAGGGACCATCTTGATGGTAAGGGTCAATTTCAAGAACTATTTGTGATAAAAACCCTAAGACATAAGTATTCATATAACATGTGGAACCATGACTTTCAAACCACCGGATCATGGTTGTCAGAATGACTGAGATTGGCTGATACGATTCAGGCCATGTGGTTCGGAACAAATCAGGCTTAGAGGACGAAGATATTAAGGTATATTCCAACATAATGGGCGCTGATTTAGTGGGCGAGACTTATCTCGTAGAGAGTCAATACTTGCTCTGCAAGATATGAGAACCTTAATTATAATTGGTTTAGGAAATATTACATGATATTTCAGAGATCCCTCAACTAAATGAATGGTGTGTGCCACAAGTAATAGTAACAAGATCCATAGATTTCCTCCACTAGGATTCTCTCACCAGTTAATGATGGATTTCTATTCTCATAAGGACTCATCTCGACTAGTATAAATACCACATATGGGTAAGCATCCAAAGTATCACATAATATGCTCGCTTGCGTACTGCTTGAGTTCTAAAATCTTTACTAGCTTGATCGTTAAAGAGTCCATAGCCCGGTACCAAACCAGTGCCAAGGATCTTCACAATCATTCTTTCTTGTTCCACATGTTCTTTGACGAGTCATGCATCGTTCACGAATTTAGTAATCTTTTTACTTTAACAAATTCTATTCTCTAAATTGAACTCTTTCTCAAAATATGCTTCTAAAGTATAGTTTATTTTCTAGGGCATTAAGTATGGAAAACATTTTGATCTTTTTAAGTTAAATTATCTTTGAGGTTTGAAGTCATATGTGTATATTTGTTATTTTTATAAGATACATGATTTTTTTTTTTTTAACGAATGATATTATCTACATAAGGAAAATGGATGGGCTAAACCTCACAATCAACTATTAATAATGTGGTTCAAATTTGCCTTTGACAAGAATCGAATCTAAGACCTCTCATTTACAAGTGAAGAGGAATACCACTAGACCATAGTATCAATACCACTAGACCTCTCATTTATGGTTTGTAATTTCGAATAAGCTTTTTAGTCATTCTCGTTACGCCACGTGTCATTTTTCGAAAAGACAAATTTTGGTGATAGATTTTGATAAGATATTTATCCAATGTTGTCATGCAAGGTGTCGTTACCTTTTTAGAATCATTGAGGATAGATTTTCGATAAGATTTTTAACCAATCACATCGCGTCACATGTCACAATCTGTTTACAATCTTTGAGAGTAGATTTCGATCAGATTTGTAACAAATGACGGCATGCCACGTGGCATTATCTGCAACCTAATCTTTTCTTTTTCCTCCATATAACCCACCATCCATCCTAAGAAATCACACACCAAAATCAAAATCTTTATCATTATTCATAGTTTCTGTTTCCGATTAAAAATAAATTCCCTAGTCCCTTGTGAAGGGAAAATCATCACCTAACCAATTTGTGGTGCTAAGATTATCTCCTCTTGTGGTGCTAGGACCATCTCCTCTTGCTCTCGCTTCCCTTGCACGCCTCTTTCACACCACGTCCGCTTTCTCCGAATTTCAAAAATATTTAGAATTCGGTGACTTCCCTTCTACTGGCTCATTCATAATGTCACGATCTTATTGAGCCTTCTTTCTTCTTTAAGCTCTTCCCTTTCTTGCCTAAGTAGCTCTATTTCTCTCTCATTAGCTTGAAATGATCTCTCAACAGCTGCAGCTTTTGCCTTCTCTCTAGCCTTATCAGCCTCAAATTTAGTCATTTCCCCGTGCCAAAGTCAATTCACCTTGGCGAGCAAGTTCTTCCATATATTTTGCATAATCATTCTTGGAAGCACTCCATTTTCTCTTTGAAGCCTTCTTACCCCGACGATTGTTCAGGGGGTGTTTCCGACACTTCTTCTGTGTCGGTTTCATGAACATGCGAGTCATGAACAAGCATAGAGTGTAGAGGGATGTTGTTCATGATAACTTCTAGACCGGCAGACACAACTCTGAATTTAGGATAATCTTTGACAATATTCCAACATTCCCACTAGGTGAATGATTTGTTTTTGGTTTTGGCATTATACCAAGCTTGTGCTCGAAGTATCTACATAATATGGGAGAAGAAATAATTATAATCAAAGTAGCTAATGTAAATTTGGGTATAATACAAACAAATAAATAATATATTGTTATATGATCCACTAAATTTTCCCCACTTCGAAGATTAGCACTAACTTGTGCCAAGGCATCTCTCCAAAGACTAAACGATTGGCTGAGTATTCTCCAATGACTGGACATCGATTCTTTGGTTATTTTCCCACCAATTGTCTTAAGATAATTGGTATGAATAAGACTCCACATTTCTCACAACTGCATCTCATTACCCGTAATCGGATCATAAGTAACTTCAACCCAGTTAGAACACAACGTAACATCTTCAATAAGCGTCCAATTCGTACCTGCATCATTAGTCATTTAGTTGGAAACCAATTGGATTGAAACTTTGAGAGAAATATTGGAATGTGGTTGAAAATATTTGAGAAAATATGAAATTGTGGTGTAATGTATAAGATAATGAGAAGGTATTTATAGAAAAGTAAAATCAATTTTTTTTTAATTTTTTAATTTAAAAAAAAAGGATTTTTTTTATTAATTCTTAACATTTTTTATTAACTTAATTAATTTTTGCCGTTAGATTAAAAATTTTTGAAATCCAACCGTCCAGATTATGCCACGTGGCACAATGGTAATATTTCAGAATTTTTTAATGTGAATTCTTTTTTTTTTTAAATTTATAAAGGCGAATAACGTGGACCGTTGATCTAAAATCTAACGGCTAATATTGGGGAAGGTTTGATTTTTTTTTTTACCGTTGGAAATCCAACAGTCCAGGAAAAGTAACTGTTGAAATCCAACGGACGAGAACGTGACACGTGGCCACCAACGGTAACATTTTTGCAGTCTGAACCGTAGACCCCAGCGCCTGAAATGTTGTCAGGGACGTGCCCCCACACGCGCGTGTTGTGCACGCGCATGACGCAAAAATAATAAAATAATGGCTGATGCCATCCTGACGTCAGCGTTGCATCACTTGGCCCTCGGGCTCTCGGGTCACCGATTCGAGCCAGGACTCTCACTTAGGCCCCCCTTCCTGCCCAATCGCCCTCTGGGTTGGAGCTTGCAGCTCTTGCTATTGGGTTGGTAAAGTCGCCGGTCTATCGGGCTAATTGTCCCGGTGAAGTTGCTCTTTTGAACGTTTGATGGCCATGGATAACATAATTGAGTATATCTGTGGTAGATTCACATAACAGTAAACAGCCGAATATCTCAAAAGCCAAGAGTGCAAGCAAAAGTGCTTTTCTTTAACGCACTTTTATCATTACCCAGAAGGCAGAAGCCCGTTAGGTAATCCTATTGGCTTTTGTTGCCGTTGAAAAAACCCAACGACACTCGATGCCCCCACCAAATTTCAAAAATCAATGCGCACATCACTCCATCCATCTCTCCTGTCCTACGTGTCATCCGACCCATCTCCTCCCTTTCCCATAAGCCCCATAAATCCCAGCACTATTTCCCCTCCTCTAACCCTTCCTTACCCGTAAAAATCTCCATCATTCAGGGGTAGTTTTGGAACTCCAAAAAATCAAACGTATACTTTCGTTTGTATTAATAGCCGTGCTGCTTGGGGTTGTGTCTGTCGAAAGACTCTGAACTCTGTCTACTCAGAAACCAAGCATCATTAATCTACTCGCTAAAGTGTTGTTAGGTTTCTGAGAAAGTTTCAATCTTTGTATTCGTTTTGTTGGGATTTCATTTGGGTTGTCGGGTTGGACATGGAGACCGGAATCATCGGAGTGTCGGAGTCGGGTCTGGATGTGAGGAAAGAGGAGAGGGTTTTGAGGGCGGAGATCGATACCTCGGCCCCCTTTGAATCTGTGAAGGAAGCGGTGAGTCGATTCGGTGGAATCGGTTACTGGAAACCCTCTCAGCTTGCTAATAAGCCTTCTGAACCTCTGGTAATTCTCTCTCTCTCTCTCTCTCTCTCTAAACAAATAAAGATTGGTGTTTTCTTCTGTGAAATGTAGAAATTCGAATAGGGTTTTTTTCTTGAAAGGAGAAAGATTACATGGATTGAGATTTATGGCTTTGGTTTTTGGGTTGACGATGAAGTTTTAGTTTAAAATGTATGTTCGTTGTGTTCTTTAATTAATGTTTGAAGCTGGTTGTTGGTTGACATTGTAAATTATAATGATCCGATTGCTTTTGCTTCGAAAAGTAGTTGAAATTTGTGAAGGAATTTGATGAGCTTCAGTTTCTGTGGAATTGTGTGTGTTGCCAAATGCTATTCGTTATCTGTTTCTGCCATTTTTGGGAGTTTCTGGCTTTATGACTGATGAGCATCCCATAGGATCATCGTTTTAGTGTGGGGAAACCGGGCGTGTAAGTTTTCGATTTAATTTCAAAGCAGTTGAGATTTATGAAATGTGTGTCAGCCTACTGCAAAAGCGGAAAGGTGATTTATGTGTATGTTGCTGATTAGGGGACTCGAGGGTTTTGGTTTGTTCCGTTGGGATTGTGTCCTGATACATCTTGTCATATCTTTCGTGTTGGTTGCACCGAACTGTAGATTCATAAGTTGCAACTTTGGATTCATTTCTTGTTAGAATCATTCTGGATGGTACCCGTTTCATAAAATTACTGAACCATGACTTCGTAAGACCCTGATTCTCAAGAAATTGTTATCTACAGCTGCACCAAAGAGAATGAATGTGTTTTTTCTTACTGTAGTTAGCGTTTTAAAGTTCAAGTTTACTTTTATTTTTTTGGTGTTTTCTATTGCTTACCAAATTGCTAAACACTATCTTATTATGTGGTGACATGTTTCTCTTCTTAGCAGCGTGACATTGAAGATGTTGACGCTGCAAAACTCGAGGAGCAGGCTTTAGAGTTGGAGAAAGATCTTACATTGAAAGAAAGGGAAACGCTGGATGTTCTAATCGAACTTGAAGAAACCAAAAAGACAATCGATGAGTTGAAAAAGAAGCTACAGAACGAAGTATCTGAAGTGAATGTGACCCTTGAGGCAAATGGAGGTAACGAATACGTGACTCCTGTGGTAAATGAAGAGGATAAGGAAAATCATGGGAATGGGGGTGGTCATTACGATTCGATGGGCGGTGTGTGCCCCTGCCCTTCTTCAGCTCCAGGTTTAATCTTGATGGAGCTGAAACAGGCGAAAATGAACCTTACAAGGACTACTAGCGATCTTGCTGACATTCGAGCTTCTGTTGAATCATTGAACAAGAAATTGGAAAAAGAAAGAACCATGCTTGAGAAAACCCGTGTGAGGCTTACTTCAAATTCTTTGAAAGTGTTGTCTCTTGAAGAAGAGCTAAACCAAACAAAACTAAAGCTACAATTGGCAAAGGATGGTGAAACTAAGGGTGGTCCTGCTAATCCTTTAGATATTTCAAAGGAGCTTCAACGGCTGAGTTCTGAGACCGAGCAGTTCAAACGAATGGCAGAAGCTGCAAAGTTAGAGGTCTTGCGAGCAACATCTGAGATTGAACAGACAGGAACTAAGATAAAAACAGCTGAAATCAGGCTGGTTGCTGCGAGAAAAATGAAAGAGGCAGCTAGAGCGGTAGAAGCAGTGACCCTAGCGGAGATTAAGGCTCTATCGTACCACAAGAGTTCATCTGGAGATTCATTTCAGAAACGCAACGAAGTAACTCTTTCATTCGAGGAGTACTCAGCATTAACCCGCAAAGTTCGAGATGCGGAGGAGCTTTCTAAGAATAGGGTGACAGATGCTATGCTTCATGTTGGAGAAGCAAATGTATCAAAAATGGAAATCTTGAAGAAGGTAGAGGAAGCAACCGAAGAAGTCAAAACCAGTAAAAAGGAACTGGAAGAAGCTCTGAACAGAGTGGAGGCTGCAAATAGGGGGAAACTAGCAGTTGAAGAAGCACTTCGCAAATGGAGATCCCATCACGGTCAAAGAAGACGTTCTTCTGTACACAACTCTACGAAGTTCAAAAATCCATGCCCGTCTAATCACGGGAAAGATTTGAAATTACGGGATGTGAATGGTCTGAATCTTGTTAGTGACGGGCCAACGCCTGTGTTGAAGCCAACTTTGTCGATAGGACAAATACTAAGCAGGAAACTGCTTTTGCCGGAAGAGGTTGAAATGGAGGTGGCCGGAAAAATCCCTGTAAAACAGAAGGTGTCGCTGGGACAAATGCTGCAGAAACAAAATGGCGATCTACCCTCTTCTGGGAAGTCCGAGAGGGAAAGCAATCTCAAGGACTGTTCTGCTAAGAGAAAGAAGTCTGGATTTGCTCGATTCTCGCTACTCTTGACAAAGCAAAGCAGGAAAAAGAAGAAGCCAACTCCAAACTTGAAGTAATTCGGCCTATCAAGAACTGACTTTAGTTGTATGTGCGTGCGCGTCTGTTTTCGCTCTCCTCCATCTCTGATTGTTCTTGCTTAAGAATTCGTTGCGTTTAGGTTGTAGTTGTTCCCAGACTATTGGATCTGTTTATTATATATGTAAACCCTTTATGTGTTGGTTGTGAAGAAAATGTACCTACCTAATGCTAAAATTCTTCTGGAGTGATGTTTAATTTTCTTCCCGAAAATGTTTGTGATACACAAGAACTAAACCCTTCACCCGAGGTCCTGTCTTTGATTCCCTTGCTTCCAATATCGCTCGATTAGCCAATTGTGTTTTGAATGGATTATATTCAAAAAATGGTGCCAATATACAAACATATGCCTGGCAATCCATCATAAAATTAATTGGTTATATGGAGAGTGGTCTAATTTACTTATAAGCCATATAAAGTTCCTCCTTCAATCAATGTGGGATTCATTCTCAACATGCCCCTTCACGTGTGACAAATTTTTAAACGTAATACGTGGATAACACAACAAGGACGTGGCTGTTTGGCTTCACACGTGGGACAACCTGCTCTGATACCATAAAGAAAGTTGGATTCCATCATAAAACCAATTGGCTGTATAAGGAGTACCCCAACTTACTTATAAACCATGCAAGGTCTCTCCTCCCATCAATGTGGATTTCATTCTCAACAATCTCATACGTGTTTTCTATACTAAGTGTTTAATCTTGTACACTTGGAGTTTAATCTTGTACGTGTTTTCCGTATAAACAAGAACAAAGCAAAAAAAAAATCTCAAAAAACAAAACAAATCCAAGTAGTTTTTTTTTTTTTTTTTTGAATAAACGATATTATTTATATTAAGGGATGGATTAGTAGGTTAAGCCTCATAATTGGTTAGGAATAATGTGGTTCAAATTTATTTTTAACAGTAATCAAATCTAAAACTTCTCAGCTACAAGTAATAAGCAATATCCTTGTTACACGTAGGAAGGAGTCCACGTCACATGTTGCTTGGCACACACAAGCCCAACCCAGATGGGCAATTGGGTAGCTAGTTGTATAAAACAAAGGAGCAAGGCAAACGACCGCAGCCGACATTTCAACGCATCTCCCAAACGCGCACCCGCAACAAAGAAAGAAAGAAAGGAAAAATTCCTAGGCATCAAGTTTTCCACTTCTTTCTTTCTCTCTCCTCACAATCGCAGGTAAATATCTATCTATCCATCTCCGATTGTGCGGGATTTCGATTCCGGTCGTTTCTGTCCTTCCCACATCGAACATCGTAGGATCTTTACAACTTGAAACTTGTTCCTTATTTCGTTTCCCACGTTTTCTCAGCACCAACCCCCAAAAGCTGAGATTTTTAGGATTGACTCGATATCTGTCTGTCTATGTTGTTTGTTATATGTTTTTTTTTTATGTTTCTTTCTATGTTTTCGGCATATGCTGGTATTTTATGTGGGTGGTTTTGCTTATTATGTTCTTCTGTTTCTCTGTCGTTGACAAATTTTATTGCTTTTGGTCTCTGATTAAGGTTGTGTGTTTTTTGGTTATTGATGTTATAGATATTGCTTTTATAATTTCAATTGGGAAAATCATCACAAACATCATTAGCTAATCCGAAGAGTATGTGTGAAAAAATAAAACTTTGAACTTGTTGTAGACTTCAACAAGATTTTACCTTGCCACGCTTGGCTTGGTGAATTCGGCTTGATCAAAACTTAGGTAGGTGTGTTACAGCTCCAGTCAGTAGCGAATCGAGGGTTAGGGCCGTGACCCTAGTTGATATTAGCCTTTGCTATTCAATATCTAGCGACGCGAGACAATAGTTTCAAGTCTTTATTAGGTTAATAGGTTCAAAGTGTATTTGGGATGTAAACAGAATGGAGTCAGTAAATTATTATATGTTCTTGAGTCTAATTTGCGTTTGCAGCTTAAGCTCTCTTGCTACGACTTCATAATTATATCATCGCCACTTTCTTTGTTTTTTGGGAAACTACAACTATGATCAGTTATGGTTTGTTATTGCTTTGTTTACTATGAACCCTTTATCATTGTGGTTTTCTTATGTCGTCAAATGGTTGCAACTTCAGGCACCATGGACGTGAGAGTTGGGGTTTTGTTTCTTTTTGTGCTGGCAGCTAGTTGGGCTTGTGATGCTAGACAACTGACAAACCTTGATCTGTCAGGTAAGAAAATTTACTGCCTAATGAGAATGAAATATTAACATGATTGGTCCTATCATCTTTGAAAATCTAGGGTCCCGTTTTCACCTCAATCTTGATAAGTAATTGCGTTCTTGTGCTGCAAACATAAATTTTAACTGATAGTTTTACTCTCTGAATCAGTTTCAAAGTCAGACCACCAGTTGGAAACTCAAACTTTCCAAGTTGAAGAAGTTGTTGGGAATGATAACGTGTGCACATTGTGTGAGGAGTTTGCTGAGCAAGCACTCGAATACATTAGTGAAAACAAGACCCAGGCGGAGATCATTGAATACCTACATCAGGCTTGCCATCAGTTGCGCTCATTCAACCAGCAGGTAGTCACCTTTTCTAACTTTCTAATTTTGACATAAGTTTTGTTGGAAACTCGTACACTGAAAGATGCTCTGCTTGGACAGTTGAACATGTTATTACAAATTTACAAGAAGTTTATTGAGTATTAACACACTATGAAATATATTGCTCTGAGAAGCTTTGTAGAGTTACGATGAGCTATGACGCATTGTATCTAAACCCTAAACCAAAATCATTTGGGGATGTTTAACACTATTTTTGTTCTCCCAACTCCCCTACTTTAGGAAAGAACTTCCTGAACGTTTTGTCATTTTTTTTGTGGGACAGTGTGTCACTTTGGTGGACTATTATGCTCCTCTCTTCTTCTTAGAGGTTACCTCTCTACAACCTTCTGAGTTCTGTCGGAAGGTCAATCTCTGTCAGCAAGTAGCTTTGTTTTCTTCACAATTCAAAGAGGATAGCTGTGGATTATGTCACCGTGCTGTTTCAGAAGTGTTGGTTAAGTTGAAGGATCCCGACACGCAGGTTAGTACTTGCAGTACTCTTTCAATAATAAGATGACACAATTCTGAACATATCAGATTTTGATGTGTAGAAGTTTATTTTTACCTTTTTGACCTTGCGTAGCCACAGTTTTACATGTTTTGTGATAAATTATGGTTACCACTATCCTTTTGAACTTACAAGATGGAACCCTGTTCATATTATTAGATCCTCAACCTTAAGAGAAAACTTGGAGCCCTCCATACATCAACGTAAATGCATGTGTCATTTTATTTATTGCTGATATTTAGTTTGTTTGCAAAAGCTCAACAAGCTACTGCATGTGATTTGAACTTAATCATTTAACACGCATGACCCATGTTAGACTGCTGTGGTTGGGTCTAGTCCCAAAGAAACCTACCATTCTTTCTATCTACTTATTGGGAGCACTCTGCAATTGGCTTCGTGCTCTCTCCACGTCTTGGAGAAACTTTAGCACCATGCCTTACTAAAAGTAGAACGATGTTATATACTATACAAAAGAGGTAGAAACTGACCAGTATGACTTGTTAGACAAACAGAACTAGTTGAATAACAAAGCTTAGAGATTACAGTTGAAGCTTTTGAATTATTGTGTTGAAAATTTGTCGCAATTTGGGATGTACGTGTTCAGAAATGCTGCTCACTGCAAACATAAATGAGATATCAATACATTTTGTAAATAGGAGTAACATAGTAATGTTGCAAAATAACAATGAAAACTTAGGAACTCTTTATTTCAAACATTAGCAAAATAGACAACCAAGATTTCTCGTGATTGTTATATAATTATTACCTGCAAGAAATTCTTATTATTACTTATAGCTCGATACTTCTTGTGGAGATCCTTCGTCCCACTGAGTTTAGAAATATTTTATCCAACGACACTTCATGCTACCTAGACAACTGAATTCTAATTTTTGTTTTCTGTCAGCTGGAGATTATTGAGTTGCTTCTGAAGGCATGCAATTCGGTGGAGAACTATACCAAAAAGGTGAGGAAAATTAAGAATTTTAGTCGGTATCCATAGATTGTGTGTTTTACTCCAGAAAGTTGGTGTTATTTGAAGATGTGTGAGCCCCAAAATGTTGAATTAGGATATAGAAGAGTAATTTTCATGAACGGCTGATCAAATCGAAAATTTATGTCATTTATGAGAATTTTATCGCTGCATGCACTAACAGATTAATCACTTCTTTTATTTATCATGGCCCTTCAAAATCTTTCCGGGGGATTTTATATTATTTTTGTTTGCGACATATTTGAATAATAGCCATATAAGAGAACTATAGATTGGCCGATTAAGGTTGATACAATCGGAAAATAATAGGAACGTTTCTCTCATCTGGAGCTTCAGATCAAATGATATTCCTTGTTTAATGTGGTTTTATTGCTTTAGTTCTCTTTTGATATGCTTGGATTTTTGACAGTGCAAGAGGCTCGTTTTCGAGTATGGCCCCCTCATTCTTGCCAATGCAGAGCAATTCCTCGAAACAACGGACATATGCACTGCGCTTCATGCCTGTAATTCGAACAAAGCTAGCATTACGGAGCACATATCCAATCTGTCCACCTCTTAGAAACAAAGAGATACTGGACCGATGAATCCATTCCGTCGTGGCAACAAAGATATAACCTGTGTCCGCCTCTTCCATTTGTGTAAAAACACTCCCAGGTGTGCCTGCCTGTGCTATATTCTATTTGTGACAGGAGACTCGGCTAAACATTTATTGTAAAATATGTGCGATAAAATTCAACTGCTTTTATGAAAATGTTTGATCCTGAAACTTCTGTACCGCGTTAATCTTTGACGAATTCAAATCTCTTTATCTGGGTTGGTTCTAAATCATGTTTAGATTTCAAAACAAGGAAAGTTTAGCAACTTGATAATGCTTGATTGGCTTTGGATACTGCAACAATGGCGGTAGGTGCTACGGAAAAAGTGATAACATACGAAAATGTTTGATTGACTTTGGCAAATGTTCTTGCAAGAAAATTGTTCATTGCACAAGTATTGCTGGTTTTAAGAATGAGTAATTGTCCTTCTTCGATTATTAATGTCCAACTTGAAAGCAAACAGCTAATGCGGTCCACTTATTGAATAGGGTTATATGGTTTGTCTACGACCACTGAATGTCGAAGGCATCCATGGATAGATCTCGTAGTTCCTACGGGGTGGAGACGATGGGGTCGTTGCTAAAGAAATTAAAAAGGATTGGTCGGTTGGTTTCATGAAACTTCCCCAATTCTAGATTTCTCCTGCCTTTTGTTTCATATGTTAGACTTTGAAGTCAATCATTTTCTCTTTAGATTATAGCATTCTAACTTGCAACTTACTAAGCAAAATTACATTTCCATCCTCGTATATTTTGGCTCGTTTCAGCTTAGGAAAACGATTTCTTTTTCTCCCTGCACACACACACACTATTCATTCATGTCGATTAATATTGATTTAATTTATTTAATCGAAAAGTCAAAATTAAACAAGCTTATTAAAAAGAAAATGAATTCGTAATTTCCCTCAACTTCTCCTCCTCCTCCCTTATTCTTATGGGGTTTTTTTTAGAAAAAAATAAGACAATTTGTGACAAATTAAGATTATCCATTATTTTTGGACTCGAATGATGGTTGGAAATTTCACTCTCATCATAGCCATGACTTCATAGAAAGCTGACGTTGGCACGATTCACTGAACCACTTGTCGCGATTTCCTATCGATGTGGTTTGAAATGCTTGGTTTATTCATGGTTTTTGTTTATTGAAGGGACATGCATTGATTTTGTATGGAGCAGCGCGCGGCCAACTCCAACACCGGAGACGGTGGGGCCCGAGGATGGGCAACCGGACGCGTGGGTTTGTGACAGGCAATCGCTGAGCGGAATGTGTAAGGTTGGCAGCCGTCGCAGTTGAAACCTGTAAGTGCGTGGACTTGGAACGTGACCTGAGGAAGGCCAAACCTCTGCTAAATACCAAAAACTGGAAACTAATTCATTAATTCTGACAAAAAAGAGAATAACAAATTAACAACAAAAACTCCCACTGACTTTCGGGTTGTCGTGTGCTGATTGGTCGCTGGGCGACACGTGCAAATGACGTTCGAGCCATGAAGCTTCACATGGCCCCGCCCCCGACCTACCCAAATTGTGTGCAACTGTGCATTGCATTTGCACCCCCAAATCTCTTATTTTACTTTGATTTTGTCGCTTAAATCTTGTTTTAATTTTGTCGTGATTAAGGCTTCTGGAATCAAATTGAGTTTCTCATTTGGAGTGCTTCTCGTATTAAGAAGAATATTTTCAATTTTTTGAAAAATGCGTTTTTTACGTGTTTTCTTGATAGCTAAAAGTATTTACGTTTCGAAGGCAAAATAAAGTGGTTGTACATCGTAAAAGAAATACAAAAGAGACTCTCTCAAAGTAGGGCTCTACATGAACTCTCCGCTACCTCATTGTGGTAGCAAAAATTTATCATGTTCAGTCTTGACGAATTTGTACTACAAAACAAATAACACTTTTGATCAAGGACCAAAGCCACAAGTCTGTATCCCTGAAAAGGGTTTGTAAATGCAGCCTTCAACTTACCAAGAACTAGTGGAGATGGGGCATTCATAGAGAGGAGAGGTGCTCAGCCATGGTAGGGTTCTGCCTACACGTGGTGGGTTCTAATTGGCCAAAGTGAGTTATTCGTAAGATGGATGATGAAAAAAAATCCCAAAAATATTAACTAGGCGATAATATCTTGAGATGACAAGGTAGGTATCCTTGATTGATTGTGATAATGATTCTTACTTGTTTGTGCTGATTTTTAATCTGAAATGTATTAAAAATAAGATTTTGTGATTAATCATATCTTTAATGTCATTAACTTTTCCATGCCACGAGCATGAGAGCTTAATGTAGTTGTCGTATGCTCGAACCTCTGGGGATGTTGAACTGTGTGGGAATATTTGTGTACCTTGCCTATTTAATGAGGGTATTCTTATTTAAGGAATAAGTTCAAATATCGTTTTTTGGATTTTTTAAGATTCTTTTTTGCTCTACACTTATGTTTTTGGCACAATGTTCATAATTTTAGCACGAAAATTAACATAAAACTATAAATGACAAAGAATTTGCAAAATACTAATATCCATCGCGTTAAAGTCGTTCCACTTGTGAAGCAATGAAGAAGATTCATGTTAAAGCCTCCAATTAAGATAAGTAGACAAGTGTAGTGGCAGACACAAAAGTTCAGAAACATGATTAGCGCTTAATGCTTTTCGGTTTAACAAAAACGTATGTAGTTAGCAAAACAAAACAGATATTTATCTAAATTTTACAGATATTTTATCAAAGTTTATGGAAATAATGTTATATAAATAAGAAAAAGGTGGCATCTTTGTAATTATGTCCCGGAACAGTGAGTGGCAGTGCTGTAATCTCAGGGAAGCAAGAAGACAAAAAAAAAACGAGTGAAAACAAACGATTTGGAAAATTATTGGTTGCCGTTGGTGCGTTAGGCACAGCCCTCCACCCTTTTTTTTCTTGCTTTAAATCTAAAAGCCAACCACCAAGCATTTCATTCTCTTCAAATTCTCTTCATTCTTTCAACTGGGGAAGAATTTCTGCTTTAATTTCCAGGTAAAGTTCGAATCTTTTTATTCGATTCTGGTTTTCTTTCTTGTTTCTGTTGAGTGTGAATTTTTCAATTTTGTTTCTTTTTAGGTTGAGGGTTTTTGTTTTGAATCTGTTTACTGTTTGGATTCCGAGAAAATTTGTGTTTTTTCTTTTATTTTCCCTTCTTGATATGCTGAAATCTTGGAAATATGAAGCTGGGAAATGGGTTTTTCTTCCTGGTTCTTTTTGGATGAGTCTTAGTTGAATATATCGAGTTTAAGAGATGATTATGTTGCTGAATTGTGATTATTTCTTGTTGCAAATTAATAAAAACCTACAAATTATTTATAAATTGTTGAAATACTTGGTGAAGTTCACAGCTTTCAAATATGAAAGAGAGAAATTGACAAAATGTTGTAAAATACAAAAGCTTTGACAGGGTTGTTGTAATTCACTGTGAAAACTACGCATTTTTTCGAACTTAGTTGCAAATTATGCACCGAATTTAAGCATGGAAGGGTCAAAGATCTTATGTTTCCGTTGTTTTTCTCTCAGGTGAGAATCTGGTTTCGCGTCCGTTTGAGTTTGAGCAAGTCATCTTCCTCAGTTTTCTCTTGGTTATCAAAGACGGAAGCCAGGGAATGCTGAAAGATGTGTGTCAAGTTCGAGAACTCTCCATCTCTTATTGATGAGGTTGTAGTTCTGTTTGGGCTGCCCTTGCTTATCAATGATGAGATTGATAAAACTCGCAACGAGTTCAGATTCTATGCTCAAGTGCCCACTTCAGTGAGAAATATAGGCGGGCACATCTTGTCAAAACATGATGTCTATGAAGATGGTTGAACTTTTATATTCTTGAGAATATAGCTTCTGTATTATATATTACGCTATCAGGTAGAAGTAGCTTCTGCAGTGTACAAGAATAGTAGCTGGAAATGGAAAACAAAGGGAGCGTGTTGATGCAGCGGTTTGAATTGGGGCGATTATTAGGGCAAGGAACCTTTGCCAAGGTTCACCATGCAAGGAACCTTAAAACCGGCATGAGTGTTGCGATTAAGATAATTGATAAAGAGAGGGTCTTGAAGGTCGGAATGATAGATCAGATTAAGCGAGAAATTTCTGTCATGCGACTGATTAGACACCCGAATGTTGTGGAGCTATATGAGGTAATGGCCAGCAAAACCAAGATTTACTTTGTCATGGAGTATGTCAAAGGCGGTGAGCTCTTCAACAAGGTTTCCAAAGGCAAGCTAAAAGAGGATGTTGCTAGGAAATATTTTCAGCAGCTCATCAGTGCTGTTGATTACTGCCATAGTCGAGGAGTCTGCCATCGAGATTTGAAACCAGAAAACCTACTTTTGGATGAGAACGAGGATCTAAAGGTTTCAGATTTTGGATTGAGTGCCCTTGGTGAATCTAAGCGCCAAGATGGTCTGCTTCATACAACCTGTGGAACCCCTGCATACGTTGCTCCAGAAGTAATAAACAGGAAAGGCTATGATGGCGCCAAAGCTGACGTTTGGTCATGTGGGGTGGTGTTGTATGTTCTATTGGCTGGCTATCTCCCATTTCACGATTCAAATCTGATGGAGATGTATAGGAAGATTGGTAAGGGTGAATTCAAATTCCCGAACTGGTTTTCTCCGGAAGTACGCAGGTTGCTGTCAAAGATCATGGACCCGAATCCAAATACTCGGATATCCATTGCCAAAATTATGCAGAGTTCTTGGTGCCGGAAGGGACTCGTCCAGAAACCTGTAATTGCTGAGGTACCAATGAAAGAGCCAGCCCCTCTGGATGTTGATGCAATTTTTGGAGCTAATGAAGATAGCAATTCTTCTGTGGAGTCAAAGCAACAATTATCAAAGCCATCTAACTTGAATGCTTTCGATATCATCTCCTACTCAGCAGGATTTGACTTGTCTGGATTGTTTGAGCAGACAGATCAGAAAAAGGAAGTGCGGTTTACGTCCAACAAAACGGCCTCCACCATCATCTCTAAGCTGGAGGACATTGCCAAGCGTCTGAAACTGAAAATAAAGAAGCGGGATGGAGGGTTGTTGAAAATGGAAGGGTCCACAGAGGGCAGGAAGGGGGTGCTGGGCATTGAAACCGAGATATTTGAAATCACCCCGTCTTTTCATCTGGTAGAAGTGAAGAAGTCTAGTGGAGATACACTGGAGTATCACAAGGCCATGAAGAAAGATTTCAGACCAGCTCTCAAGGACATCGTTTGGACTTGGCAAGGAGAGGAGCAGCAGCAGCAGCAGCAGCAACAACAAGAAGAGCCACCAGAACTCGGGCAGCAGCTGCCGCAGCAACAAGAACAAGAGCCGCCACAGCTAGGGCAGCAAGAGCAACAGCCTTCTCTGGCAATCCCAGTGCACGCAGTCGCACCCTAGGATTCATAACAATCGAAGAAAAAAAGGGTAGCGGATTCGTTTGTAGTATGTCATAGTATGAACTTTGTTGGTCCATTATTGAGAAACATTAATCATTGTAGCGATTGCAAAGTACAATGAATGCAAGAATTTGAATTTTTCTTAAACCTTTTGCGAATGCAAGAATTTTCCTACAACGTGTAAATATATTACAAGCGAATTAAAAAAAAAAAAAAAACAATGAATAAGAGCTGCAACAAGAAAACACTAATCAAGCTGTGGATGAAGAAGAAGATGATGAAACCAAAGTCCTCCAAAGGTAGTGTCCGCTTGCCATGTCAACGAAGGTCCAAAAACCCTTTCCGGCAGCAGATGCAACCTTGGAAGACAAGGAAGGGGATGCCGATTGATCTTTAAGCGAACTGAGCAGTTCCTGGTGATGGTCAGCACAAGTAGTAGAATCTTGGAACAAGTTGTCGAGGTTCCTCAAAGCCAAGAATCCGGCGAGCGCGGCGGACAAGAAGATGAGTATGAGCCTCAGCGGACACATTCTTTCCTTTCCTTCTTCTTTCTTGCTTTCTTAAATTCTTTCCTTGTTTCTTTGTTAACGTTGGATTTAGAAGTTAAGAAATAAGAGCAACTATTTGAGAGAGATGTGATTGTGGCTCTGGCTGTAGCTGTAGCTGCTTAAATAGGCAATCTATGCTTCTCCTAATACAACTCAGATTTGGAATTAGAATGCAAAGTGGATGTCGAAATTTTGGATCAGTGGAGGTTTTGGGATTACCGAGTCACCTTTTTTTTTTTTTTTTTTTTTTGACCAAATATTTGACGCGTAGAATGTGTAAAAAACAACCTAAAAGGTGGCAAATGCCGCCTTACTCCCTTTTTTTTTCTTTTTTTTTTTTTTGTATTTTTTACTAATTGGATGCTACAACGTATAATAATAAAAACTCTTGATACAACTTCAACAACCGACCTTAGCTCAGTTGGTAGAGCGGAGGACTGTAGTGGGTAAAAGCCTGTCAGGCATCCTTAGGTCACTGGTTCGAATCCGGTAGGTCGGATTTCCCTTTTTGTATTTTTTTTATTTTTGAAGCGTATCTTTTTCTAATTTTATTAATAATGTTTCATGTCTTTTTAGTCAAGACACCTGTCTTGTTCTAACACCATGGTAGTATCTTTCTATTTTATCTGCTAAACAAGTTAACTAACACACAATGAATAAAAACTAAACTCGTTACTCAAGATTGTGCGGTGCCCTATTGCATTCAAGTTCAATCTTCTTCTCCATACACTGGAGTAACTAAAATATTGATTCGTCAAAATAAGAGTTCAATAGTGTTTGTTTTCCTTTACCCTTGATGATCTTTGAGAGGAATGACCTTTTATGCATCACAGGATGACGTTAGTCATGTGAACATGTCTCATGAGACCAGTCAAAAGCTGGAGTGCAATGGCCTTTTGCCACGTGACACTTTTCTAGCCTTCTGATCAAATGGTAACTTCAATCCAACATTTTTTTTTTAATGTAAAGTTCAAAATGATAAGAAAATCAGAAAATTTTGAAAAAAAAATTCTATTAAAATTTGTCGAATATATTTAAAATAAAATAAAAATCCCTTTTTCTTTTGTCAAATAAAATTTGGACACCGCAACTATAGCAACCTATTCTTAATTCATCTCATCTATTAAATAATTATTGAGTAATTGAATCATACGTTCAAAAAATAAAATAATCATTGCCAATGGTAACTAACACGTCTATTACTATTCATAACGGAACCCATATAGGAGCAAAATCAACAATATTACCACCGCATTAACCATGGTTAGGTTAGATGAGTGCTATTTAACCTCGAACCATAGTTAGATGAGTGTCGTTTGTTCGATTCTCTAAACCCCTTAAAAACGACCAGGAACAGGCGGAAAACAACTATATATAGCAATGAAGGGACTCCTTGGTTCCTCTTGCTAGTTAGTGTGTTACAAGACATCCAACATTCACATCATGGTTCAAGCAAAGAGAGAGGGAGGGCAAATGCAGCAGAATTCTCAGTAGAAGAAACACCCGCCCCTTCGCCGGGAGATAAAAAAACGAAACAAAAGAGAATCAGAAGAGCGACATAGCTAGCTGTTACCTGAGCAGAAAGAAGCATGCACGTCACGCGGTATTCCTATCCAAGCTAATGTTAAGCAAACGTCAATCTCCCTTATAAAGAAGAGCAGGAAGATACAATGCGTCCAGTATTTTCTAAACTATCCGCCAAAACAGGCTATTTGACCACTAGTACAGGAGGCAGACTGTTTCTCATTTTCTGTTTTCAATTAAATTCACCAAAGCGGCTGTACATTCGGATTCGGGGTGGGATACAGACCCCTGACAGGAGGCCTCAACACATATGGCTTTCCAACACCGTCCCCTGCTCCCGTCACAGCGCATTCATCCCATTCCTTTCTGCTGGAAAACAAAAACCAAATCAGAACAAAAATTAGATCACCATTATCAACTGGAAGGCATTCTCATTCTCAAACAATGAATTCTATTTAACACTGAAATAAATAGCACGACAGAATAGCAAACCAAGAAAGGACGCCATGACTTGGTTAAAAGCTGCATAAATCTACTCGTTGTCCAACCATTCAAAACAAACTTATACTAGCTATTATTCAGTGACAACCTTAATTGAGTTCCAGCTTTGGGGTTGTGCCTATGGCATCAATGAAAACTCTTACCAACTTCCGTCCATGACATGGTACATGGTCAACCTCATCCAATTACAAGGTTTGGCAAATAGAGGCAACAAAACATACAAGCCATTTAATGAAGAAATTACTCCCACAACAAAATAACTAAAACATCGAGCTTTATACTGTGCACATCCAAACCCTTTCTCAGCACATTAGAACTCCAACGTCCACCCTAGTGCTATACAGGATTACATTGCAAGAACTGAAAAAAATAAGCGTAGACGTTTCCACTTGCCCTTCCTGATTCATTATTGATTCAAACGTCCACCCTAGTGTTGTACTGAATGGATTACATTGCAAGAATGGGAAAGAATTAAAAAGTGTAAACATTTTAACTTTCCCCTTGTGATTCATTATTGTTTCTAGTTGACATTCTTCGCTTCAGGCAAGAATAAATATCCCAAACCTTTACACACCACTATTACAGAACAGTAATCCCACCATAATTAATCTATAAAAGCTCTATGAAGGACATAAAAAGCGAGTTTTAGAAACTAAATTAGAAATACAGAGGATGAGGTGTGATGCACTTACTCGGACCAACCATTCGCTTGAGGCAGCTCAAATGGATGGTTGCCAGTAGCTCTGATGGGACTCCCAAAAATCAGTTCATTCTTCGAAGTTTCATCTGGAGGTCTCAGATGAAAATGGTTTTCAGCTGTTGACAATGGAGGAAAAAAGGCTTTCTGCAACCAAGGATCATGATCACCGGAACCAGTAACAGGGCTAAAGGTTCCGCCATTCTGGCCATTTCCAAGGAAAATTCTCTGATTCTTAGGAGATTGAGAGCCAGAAACAACCTGATCTTCTGTAGTAAACAGTGATACTGATGACGGGTGCAAAAGATCATCCTTGTTTGATCTGTTCAGTTCTGGAGGTAGAAACCAGCTTGGAGAGCCACCTGCAAAACCTAGACCTTCCTGACCAAGAGGGCAACTGTTCCACATTTGCCATGTTCCCTTATCATTTGCACTTGCATCATCCAAGGGGTAAGCATGCATGTCATGGGCCTTTGGGGTACTTGGGAAGCGACTAGAATTATTAAGCTTTTCTCGCGACATTGGTGACTCAATTGGAGATGGCTTGTTCACTTCAGATGAAGCAGGTCCATTCTTCAATGTGCGAGGCCTCTCCAATCCCATGTTTAATTGAAAATTATCAAGTGACTCAGAAACTGGCCCAAGCAAGGATACTGGATCAGGGACGTAACATGGGTCTTCAAAAAGCTCTGGCTCCTCAGGTATAAGTTCATGACGTCCTTCCCCAATGCGAGGAAATATGGGATCAATTGCAGGTGAAAAACCTAAACTGCTGCTAGTAGATCCTTTTGGATAGGTAGTAGATAAAGCGAATGGTGATGGCAGCCCAAAGTTGATTGGATTATCGAATGATTGAATTGACAACGACTGGCCAGATAACTGAGGACTTTGAACTTTTGTCTGAGACTTTGCATTTGGTCTACTTATTACATTTACACTTGATGATGAAGGCACTGGCGATGAACGAGTAAACAACTGCTGCCATGATTTTTTAGGTGCAGTCCCTGACTGTGGTTCTGAGTGAACCTGCATTGAAATGGATCACATTGTAACACTTATTGTATGCATCTAAATGTTGTTATAATACGCCTAATATTATTATCATTTATGAGGCAACAGGAGTTGAAATTAGTGCTTCACTTTGTAGATTTTTGGGTTGAAGTTCCAAGAAGGATCCAGAAAATGTTGAGCCTGAATCTACTTAAGTTACAGAACTGTTGAACTTGATACAATCACATTTTTAAATGCTCAGAAAGTCAAAGACAACCTAATAGATAAATGGCATAATGAACAAACTCAACTGGATCACAGGTATCTATAATTCCCATGAAAATTATTAGTGTATAAATTCTCCCTTAGAAGTTAGGCAGGCTACTGATACACATTTAAAGTTATATGAAAGCACATATTAACAATGAGGTATAAAGCAAGAAACTTACAGGGCGGTGGACACTATTATCATCTCCATTAATAAAAGGTCTCGCAGCTACGCGCTCAGGTGGACATAAGTCTCTCTTCTGGGCATAACTATGGACAGGATCTACAGAACTGCTAGATTTGGTTTCTTTTGTCATTGTAGCATTAGCATCCTTTACAAAGAAACTACCTCCACCAAATGCCTTTGAAGAATTAAAAATTGTACCCCTCATGCGGTCCAGGTACCTAGATCCAGCATTTCCCTGAATAAAATTGTTTGCAGATGCATTTTTAATACTATGCCCCATCTCTGTGCTTTGTCCCTTAAGAAAATCTGCCCCTGATTTCAGATGTTCCCGGCGGTCAATGTCACTCTTCTTGTCAAGGTCCCGCTTTCGTTCACTTTCCTTACCTGCTCTCTTTTCCAGCTCTTCTGCATCAGAGTTGCTTTTGCTAGAACCCTTGTCTTTCTCTTTCCTTCTTTCCTGTCGTTTCTTTTCTGCTTCCTTCTTAGTATCTTTTTCCCTCACAGGTGGTGATGATTTCCCATGCTCAGCTTCCTTTTTCTCATCCCTAAGTCTCCTGCGTTCCTCCACCAACCTTGCAACTTCCTCCCTCTGCTTTCTTTCTTCCTCCTCCAAAAGCTCCTTCTCTATCTTAGCCAGTCTCTTCTCTTCAGCTTTTCTGCGGGCCTTTTCTCCTCTACTTTCATTCAAGTTGGCCCCATTCTCGCCCCTCTTGGCCAATCCTTTACGATCTCCGTCAGATGCATCATCTGATGTACTACTACTAAAAAGCTTTCTCCAAAGCCATCTAACACTCAAGAAAAAAAAGGTTAGTAGCTTGCAAGCAAAATTAACAACACCTGAATACGACTTCTCTGCCAAACAACTCTCATCCCCTCCAAAAACACTGCTCCCATCCTTTCTCCAATAACTAGACTTTCCTCCAACAGAACCATTGACCCAATTTCCATTCTCCGACCAATCTTGACCTTGCATCCACCCATTTTCAGACCACGCCTTTCCATTCAATATCTTTCCACCCTTTCCAACTAAATCTTTGATGATCCCAGACTTCGAAAGTCCCATGCCGGGTACCTCAGGTAAGTCCAAAACCGGTCTCTTTGATAAATGCCCACAATACGAACACATAAACCGACCACCACCAGGATTCTGATCCCTATATGGTGTCGAGCAGTTTCGACACCGCCTTGTTGCTGTTTTCCTCAGCTTTTGCAACTCTATTGCCTCAAACCTTTTCCTCTCTCTAAGCATTGCATTCCTCCGCACGCGCCAAGCTGAAAGCTGAGGCATCAAAACCTCATACCAGAAGAGAGTAACCAAGAGCACAACAACACAAGCGAGTCTAGGCGAAGTTATCTCAAATCGGAAAGCTGGTGGTAGAAGCTGAGAGAGACCCCACAGTCCTATTAATGGAATAACTAACCAAGGAAGCATTGTAGCAACCCGGCGAGACCACTTCTGAATCACACAAAGTATACACATTATCCTCTAGCATACGCCTATCTTTCCCCGTCTCGAATTTCGACAAATTAAAAACCCTTAGATTTTCAGACAGCTTAGATTTTCAGACAGCAAACTTCCCCAAGCAACAATG